TTGGCTGAAGTCCTATTACCTTGAAACAGATGGCTAAGATGCTTTCAATAGGAGCTCTATCCAAGCAAGGTACATCAGTTTTAAATGAAAGAAACTTCATGTTTGATCTCTGTAATGAACATTCATGTTCTCACAGGATTTATGCTAATGAAAGAAGGTTGTTTAAACAGGTCTCTCTTACCTTGGAAATCCTCCATATAACAATATGGGGAGGACACACATAAAAAGCCAAAAACCTTAGTGTGTTCTTAGTTACTCCATATTTTTTTCAATGTCAGCAGGAGCTGCTGCCACCTGCTCCAAGACTGTGTTTGCCTAGCATGTTACAATGATTATTTTCATTATGGTTTACTCAATTTAATTTTCACAAGATATACTGAAACACAAACAACACATTTAAAATTCAGTAAATGGTTTTTCCAAGATGCTTTTTAAAAAAAGTTTCAAATGCTTTCGGTTTCCAGGAACATATGACAGACACACACTCTGCCAGAGAGAAATTCCCTGAGGATGGGCTCCAGCCCAAGGCTGAAAGCTCTGATCCTAGTAACTGACCCAGATTGGATCCTACACACGACACTTGCCTTAGACCTGGCTACTGATTCATTATGTACCTTTCACACCAGTCTTGGGTAACATTTGTAGCTGGAAAGAGGTCCTTAAATATGTGTGTGTGCACATGTATATTCAGCATTCATGTACAAATATATACAACCCCAAGAGCCTTTGGCTTTGTGGTAGTGATGTTGTAACATCAATAAAGTAGGCAGAGGTGAAATTTCCAAATAATTTTTCCTCTCAGATTCTGGGGATTGGGTCTCACACATACACAGGTACAATCAATATATGAAGCCGCCTACATAAAGGAGCAATTTTAGCAATTCTGATCATATTTGGCAAGAGATTTGCCTGATATTTCCAGGTCTTATTTAAACTAAAGATGATTCACTCTTTTGTCTGGATGATGCCAAAGTTGCAGTCATGCATGCTACCTTTAATCTTTTTTTTCTCTTCCCTTTGCTCCTTCTAGTCTATCTTAATTCTTAGTGGCTGCTTGGATAAAAGTCCCTGCCGTTTATTTGGCAACATTTTCAGAAGCATTTCCCTGCCACATCATTGCCTCCTCCTAGAACTGAGGAGTGACTGCCCAAAGTAATCCAGCTGGCTTCATAGCTAAGACCAGCTATGCATCTCCCATTATTTTAACCTAGTGCCTTTAACTGCTACACTAAACTGGTTCTCCTAAATGCTTCAGCTTATTATCCTCAAGTACACAACAGGATGATATTCAGGTATGACTACTTCTATTACAATTTCCCAGAATTAAACCACTGAAAAACAATTCCTATGATGCAGCCCTTACCACATAGTTTGTAATCTTCTTAAAACAAGATTATCTGAAGAATTATGTGAGAATTAGTGTGGCACAAAGTTTCCCCCATTCCTATGTCAAATTATCATTTGATGGTATAGATTTATTGATGTCATTGTTTACGTAGACATTCACATGGAATTCTACATTTAGTTTTCCCATTTAAAGTTTAATATAAACTTTTAAAATATTTTAGTAAAACTACCTTACGAAGATATCCATGTCCTGCTACGGTGCCTCATTGTGGAGCAGGGGTGTTCCTAAGAGAGGTGATGAAAGAACGTATGACCCAAAATTTATGTTGCTAACTGAGAAATTTGTTAAGTGAGCTTTGCCCCATTTTACAACTTTTCTTGCCACATTTGTTAAGTGAACAACTGCAGTTGTTAATTTAGTAACTCGGTTGTTAAATGAATTTGGTTTTCCCATTGACTTTGCTTGTCAAGGTGATCATGGGGATGCTGCAACAGTCATAAAAGTGGTCATAAGTCACTTTTTTCAGTGCTGTTGTAACTTCCATCGGTCATTAAGTGAACTGTTGTAAATCGAGGGCTACCTGTAATCTCTGCGGGGTCAACCAAGGTCATCCTAGCTGCCCAAATAAATCAACTATGCACCAAAATTAGTCAACAGCAATATAGGAAGATGCTGGAGGCAGTTCATCATTTTACTGACAATAGCAAAGGCATCAATCATTACATGCTATGCAGAAAACAATGGTAAACCACTTTTGTATTTTACCAAGAAAACAACATAGATAATATAAAGTAATCAACAATATAGTCCCAGATGGTGGATCTCTCAGGTCAAAGGGCCCTCAACATGCTACTGAGGAAGAGCTGAGGAGCTTTTGGATTACTAATGGTATTTATGAAATTGGTATTAAACCTTCTGAGACATCTAGTTGCATATATTGCCATACTTAAAAAGAAAACTGAAAGACCAAAAGCAGAATTACAATAGGAACACAGAAAGTTAGAAGTAAGGACATGGTAAAGCGCAACACAGTGAAAAATTAAATAAAACTCTTGCGCATTGGTATCTTAAACATCAGTGAATTGAAACAGACTGGAATTGGACAATTTTAAAAAATCATGTTTGCTACTCAGGTTATGAAAATCAAGGAAGGAATAATGCTATTTTCATAGTCACAATTCCACTTCATCCTGAATAAGCTTCACTAAATCATACATTTTTTTTCAAAGTGTACTGAACTGGCATTATATATGTTAACAACTTATATGGTTTTATATGGTTTTTCATAGGAAAAGATCTTTGATCCTCTCTATGGAAGAATGGCTAACCAAATTGTGGGAAGATGCTTCAGTGTCTAGAATAACCTCGTATTTCAAAAATAAGTTTGATATATACCTGTATAATACATTATTATTTGGAATTGAATTGAAAGTTACAAGTAGACTTCTGTACATAGAATTGCGCTAAAATTTGAATTTTAGAGTTTATATTTTGAAAAATAATCTACACACATTGTCTGCAGTACTCCGTTCATCCTTTATTATCCATACAGGATGTCCTCAACCTACAACAATTTACTGTATTTAGCAACCACTCAAAGTTACAACAGGACTGAAAAAAGTGACTTATGACCCCTTTTTTCACACGTGACTATTGCAGCATCCCCATGGTATGTGATTAAAATTAAGTTGTTTGGCAATTGACTAATATCTATGACAGTTGCAAGCTTCTGACAAGCAAAGTCAGTGGAGAAGCCAGATTCACTTAACAACCATGTTACTAACTTAACAATTGCAGAGATTCATTTAACAATAGTCAATTGACAAGAAATGTGGGTAAAATGGGTCAAAATTCACTTAGCAAGATATCTTGGGCTTAATTATAGTCGTAAGTCGAGGACTACCTGTAGTTTTTTCCTCTTATTGGTTTTAATTATTTTAATCAAATATTTTTAAAGTTCAACAGATACATGACTTATTTAGAAACTGGCTATGTCTTTCAGAACTTCAAGCTTTTAATTGTATATTAGAATATATTGGCAGCATATTTTAGATTTATGGCTTATCTCAGATATTTTGACAATTCACTAAGTCTTTATAGTATCTAAAATGTAAAAGAATAACAAATGGTTATATAGTATCTATACCTTGTCATTCTTTTAATTTTTTCTTGTTGTAGTATTCTTATTCCACTTCTTTTGAAAATAATACCTAGCTTATAAAAGCAAATAAATGATTATATGCATAAGGAGGCCTACAAAAAAAGCTTTTGTTTTTCAACCCTGTCTTTTTCATGCTTAGAAAACTGATTCTATGACAAAGATTTGTTTCCAGCGATTCCCTCATGTATTAATTCTGATTAGATTGCATTCCATGGATATGTTTCAATTGTAATAGTTTGGTCTGTGCGGCCCACTTTAGAAAATACCATTAGGGGGCAGTAAAGCCTTTTTTTTCTTCCTACAAATATACAAAATAAATAACTCAAATTTGTGGTAGAATGAACTAATTAATATGCCCAATTTGCCTCGCAAAGCATGAGGTCATTTGATGTGATCTTTGTAGAACTGACATGCTGAAAGGGCTCAATAAAGAGCCACATCCCCTTTCTGAGTAACACATAATCAAGATGACTCACGTTGAGCTCAGCAAGTCTTATCTGATTATAAATAGGTTAAATGGAAGAATAAAATTGAAAGCAAGTACAAAATCAAATGGAGCTAAAGGCCCTGTGAATTTGAGGGGTGAGAGTGTTGAGCCCTATCACAACATTGACCTAATGAGGTTACTCTTATCTCAGGATTATCTTCAACACATAGCAGTTTTAATTACAGATCCATATCCTGAAATCATTCAGTTGACTATATACCAACTACAAAGAATATGCTCTGTTAATGAGAATTTCACTGCTCTGAAGAATTAAGACATTTGACCAAACTGTAGGTGATGGTGGGGTAGGAAGAACCTCTGTAAATCACAACCCATAATACTGTAATGGCAAAAAATTGTTCTTATCACATAGTTTTCATTCTCCATCTACCTGATATCGTTCTCCACAAAATGCCTCAGTGAATTAAGGACTGAAATCATGGGAATCCATATTATACAGGCTGAGTTATTTTGATATCTGTTCATTCGTGTCCTTTAATGAGAAAGTACATATGTATCTCAATCTATCAACACAACTCTTACATATCTTACAACAGGGAGGGATACTTTTTGTCATTAGGATCCAGGCATTTTTAAATGAGTTCTGAGGGCACAAGAACACAGTAGTGAAGTTACTCCAAAAGGCATACTTTTTACAGCTGATTTTCCCCCTTTGTTTTTTTGGGGGTGGGGTAGGGTTTCCTGTTAGAGGATATTTGGTAGGGTTTTAAGCAAGAAAGGGGAGTGTTAAATTCTATAGTGGCTTAATATGTCATAGAGCTCACTTTTACCAAAAGCTGTAGAAAAAGGCACCATCAAAAATAAATATTTTCCCACTGAATATTAGCCTATGCTATCAGGCATCCCTTTCCTACAAGAATATTAAGTATCATAAATAAAGAGAAAGTGTGGTTGTAACAAGAAAAAAATATTTAAATTTGTATTTAATAATCCATTCTATCCAACTCAAAGCCAAACATAAGATGAAATAAACGTGCAAATACTAAAATTATTCTTGTTTATTTTAACAAATACTAAAGCAAACACAAAATGGAACACATGAAAAACTGGCAATTTCTTAATTTGGTCCAATTGCAATTAGCACAACAAATAGTTTTACATGTAAATTAACAGTAATGATTTGGTAGTTTTGATATTATAAATATATCTCAACTGGTTTCTCAGGATATACCAGAATACAATACTTCTAGTACAGTATTGTTGGTTCCTATCCAACTAGAATGTTTATATATCAACAGCATAAAGTCATGATTACTGTACAGTAACTACACATTTAAGAAAACTTAGTATTAAACTATAATACTCATTAAACAGGTTGAAGTTATTTTATAAACACTTTTCAGTTAGCAAAACGCAACAAAATAAAAAGGAAGATTTGTGCAAAGCCTCAATTTGATGCTTCACTTTGATAATCTTCAATGATAGTTCATGGAACTGCCTTGAGTCTTGTCACTGAAGCAATGATACCACCACATGTCAAAGGAAAAACTATTGTCTAAGCCTTGGGGTTTCCACAAAGAATGGAAATAGCCCCCCTCACATTGATGGAAATAATTGATATAGCTCCATAAAACAGTCCAACTTCCAGATGCCAATTCTGACAGGCTATTTGCATATATAGAAATTATTTCCATGTCTAAAAAAAGAAACTACACAAAGAAGCTAACACTGTTGTAATCATCTACAGTTGCTCATTTCTTATGTTGAAAGTTATTTCACTATTTCGTATCTTACCCTTTCTAGACACATATTTTTACAAAAAACACCAAATTTCATTAATAAAACTGCAATACAGTTTAAAAACAAAAATAAATAATCCAGGATTCCTTCCTCCTGGGAATGTTTGAGATGGATTTTGCCTACCTATCAGCTTCTTCTCTTAAAAAGGGCCAAATTTTGAAGTTTCCCACCCAGTCAGCAGTATTCATGTTGCACATTTTCCTAATTTCAAGTCAACTTATGTGAGAGTTCCATAATTTTTAATAAAATGAATGGGCACTTGTTTGACAGCATTTGCAGGATTCCCCTAATGCAGGGGTGCCAAACTCACATTGTGACAGCAGTATCACATGATGTATCGGATCATTTTTTTCCCCTTTGCTAAACGGGGGGGGGGGGCAGCATGTGACACATCTGGCCTGAGGGCCCTGAGTTTGACACCCCTGTCCTAATGACTTCAACAATTGATTAGCTGATCTTTTTCAAAGTAATATTTTATTTCGGAAATAACTGAGCTATAGAGAATCTACGGATAATATTATAAACTTCATTACTTTTAAGTCTAATATATTAATGCTACATTTACTTGCAAAATAATTTAGCAATTATTAGTTGTATTTGGACTATATACAAAATTAAAGAAATTTAGTGAACAAGGGTAGATTATTACTTTGAATCAGTTGTAATCAATTGGTTGACCCAATGGATCACGCTATTCATATTTTCACAGAACATGTTCATATTTTCACAGAATATGTTCACATAGCCAAGATTAGACTATAAATTTCTGGATCAAGATCCTAACCAACTCTCAACAAAATCAAAAATGATATTCAGCTGTCTTCAGGCTATTAGTGTAATGATAAAAAAAATCAAAAGGAGGCTGTGAGGTGTTCAATTTTTCTTTCTTTTTCTTCCTTTCTTTTTCTTCCTAAAGAATTATTAAGATTCCAAAATTACTACTTGAGAATATATTTGGTATTTATATGGAAAAAGTATTTCAGTCATACACTAATATACTGTGCCATTAATATACTGACATATTGGTCAAAATTGCTATGTTTATCCATGTATCTTGGGCCTGGATTTACCAAAGACAACAATCTTCCTACTGTTTACATAAGTTTTTATTGCCCCAGATATAGTAAAAGTAGGTGGGTATGTTCATGGTTTTCTAATCAACATAGATTAACAATATGGGTAAAAAAGATCACCATATTTCAAATGTGTTCTAGTTCATTCAACTCATCCAATTCCAAATTAAAAAGAACACACTTCAAATTGCAACATTCACATTTTCATAAACTGCACACAATTATTCAGATAGTTTATGTAAACTTTTGTTTAGCTCTCTCAGAAATTCTGTTATAATTCATGTTGTGTGGTAGAACTTGTATTTTGTATTCAAATTCCTTAAGTATCTTGAGCTAGCGTGCAATATATGCAATAAATTGGTGTAACAATAATTTATTTAATTATCAGATTCCTGCTCTGTGCGGTCCCCAATTATATTTTAGCCACATTTGCTAATCAGAAGTGCCCCTTTTCCCTTTCCAACTCTTCTCTCTTTGCTCAAGTTCAGCTTCAGTGAAGGCCGCCGGTCCCCAGTTAGTGATCAAATGGGAATTCTTGGAACCTATAAGAAATAATATTTTAGATTTAGTCATTTAAGCCTAATTTATTCCATGTGTCAAATCTACTTCTAACTTTGCTTTACCATTAGTCATGTGACAATATAGCCGAAGAAAATATATTAAAAATGCATCCAATCAAAAGCATTTAAATAAAAAAAAATTTAAATGCCTTTCATCCTTATGTATGATAAGATGATTTGAAATAAACAAATAAAATGAATATATTATAAATAAACCAAATAGTATTAATAAAATGGTTCAGCTAAATGTGAATTTACAAATGAATACATTTTGACTTAGTACCAAAAATACCATAATAATCAATTTTATTACTATGGAAGTTTGAGAATATTCTAAAAGTAAAGCACCATTAAAAGAAGCCTGTCTATCTTGACTCCTCTCTTTCCTTTACTATATAATGCACTTTCCTTAACAAATTTTAATTGAGACGACTTCCTTCTAAAGTTCCTGAGTTGCAAGTAGGGACAGAAAAGCATTTATATTTGGAGTTCCATGTCATTTAAGCAAAACTAACAGCTTCAATTAGACATTACATATACTTTGTTCAAAGTAACCTTCAGAGACAGTTGTTGAGCCATTGGTAAAGTTAGGTTGTTGGTACCACTGTGACCATTTGGGACCCCATCAATCAGGTTGGATGCAAAACTACGTATAAGTGACATATCTAAATTGATTCTTCAACTATCTTTTATATGTAAAAAATATCTTATTCAAAGTTTGCACAGCATTCTATGTTATGACAAATCACCGTCAGTCCAATGTTTCCATGCTGTCCATTTTCAATTTCATATTGTAATCTACACTACTGAAAATATTTACTCCCAGCATCTTAACTTAAATTTAAAATAACTACTAAAACATTGAGTAGTGGTGACATATCAAAGCTCCTCTCAAGAGGATTTCATTATCTTTTCTGATAAATATATAATTACAGACAATAATGTTCATATTGCACTTTAATGTCATCTACAATAACATAATTCATTTGACTGAAAATTTCCTGTTGAACCAGCAGCTTATATTCTTTATAGATTAACTCAGTGGTTGATTAACACACATTTGCTTGGTTGAATTCCATTAAAAACCTGAAACTGAACTTCATTTGTTCTTTCAACATAAACCATAAGAAATATCCTTCAGAAGCTCAGCTCCCATAAAGGGGAAAGTAGATAAACATATATACATTATTCTGTTCTGGATGCAACATAAATGCATCTTTCATAGAGCACTTACAATTGGACAATAATAAATAAAGGCAGAATATTCAAAATAATATAAATGCTGTAAATAAACTTCAAGAACAAAGGTCAACAGAGGTTTATGTCATGATGAGGTGAATGAGAAATTTGACTTGAAGGCACCTAAAAATCTCAGCTGCCAGTGTTTGTACTGACTTCCTTTCTTCTGTTTGGAGCTTGGTTCAGCTACGTTTCTCCAGACAATAGCACACACTAAACGGGAAGTGCAGCCTAGGCTGACTCAGTAATATTCAGACTTCTTGGAAACCATAATGGGTTATTTAAGATAAAAATAACAGCATGAATGCTGATTCACAAAATAAAGGATTGTTTCCTACCTGGTTCGATTAATCGAATTAATCCCTCATGATGAGCTACTCTATCTTTCCAATTTTTAGTTTTACTTGCTGCTACTTCCAATTTCTTCTTTACCTCCTGAAACAGAATTATCACCAACATTATACGGAAACTTTTTTTTTTACAACAGAGATTCTCAAAACAGCACAAAAAGAACACCTCTCCACAAGATCACAAAAGGCTGGACTTTAACTGGATGTGAGCAAGGATCAGCCAAGGTCAGCACATGAAGGAGTACACAATTGCAAACATTTGTAAAGCATGTATTCACAGTAGCCAAAGCCAATCTTAGCTGCTGCTAAGTTACCCATAAGTTACTAGGACATAACTATACTGTATAGCCCTATAAGTATGGCTTCTTAGCTACAATAACTTTTCCAAGTTTCATCAAATGCCTACTGTAAATCTATTCCTGATATGGCTTTTAGCCACAATTATCTTTGATCCATCTCGGCTCATTTTATTATTGTACCAAACTGATACACTATTTTATCCTGGTAAATCTCTATAGATAATTTTCAGTTGAGGTCTGTTATGATGGCTGCGTATACAGTATGATCATAAATGCCCAATAAGAAATGATTCAACTCTGTGAAGTGGTCAGAGACACTACAGCTTGGTGTCTTGAAGAAGGTATAAATCAAATGATTTAGATACCCCTGTTACCAACACTTGAACACATTTGGGTGACTGATGACAAGCTGTTATGCACACATGCTTATGGAGATGACTTGGGAAAGCTTTACAGCATCCACACTGAGCCTTCTGAGGAATGCAACTGCCTTCACCCTTCGAGGAAGAATGCTTCAGTTTTAGTTTAGTTTACTTTATTGTCATTGCACCTCATACAACAAAATCAAACACCATCTTCAGTGCACATCATGACCATGATCATGAAAATAAACATAAACACACATCCTTCACCCTCCACACATTGAACCGAAAATCCCCAACACCGCACCAACACTGCACTATACAGTAGAATTCAAAAGAGCTGCTGCCCTGAGATAGAAGCTGTTTTTCAGCCTATTTGTCCTTGTTTTTATTACTCTGTACCGTCTGCCAGATGATAATAGTTCAAAAAAGGGTTCCCGGGATGAGATGGATCTTTGAGAATGTTTTGAACTTTCTTAAGGCAGCGGGAGCTATAAAGCTCTTCCAAAGAGGGGAGAGGGCAACCAATGATCTTCTGGGCAATGACATTAACAATGACATTCAGGCATATTAACATATTTTGCAAAGTATCCCTTCATATACTTTATAGTATAATCCTAGAAAAGCTACATTAGCTCACCTCATATTGTTCAAAGGCTTGCTTCCTCTCTAATTCCAGTTCTTCCAACTGTTGCATGGCGACCTGTAAAGCGTGTTCCTTCATTTTCCTCTGGTTTTCCAACTCTTGCTTTTCTGCCTCAGTCACCTGAATGGCCTGTTGCTGCTCTAAATGCCACTTTTCCAATTCTGCTCTCTTGGTTGTCTCTTCTTCTAGCAGTCTAGAAAAAAAAAAAAAGTAACAAAGGAGGTATATTAATTCAGGACTGACACAAGATGTATCCCCACATGAATTGAATAGTTAAGAAAACATACCCTAAAACAGTTCCACAGAAATTGCTTGTTTTTGTGCTACAAGTCCATCAAGATACCACATTCAGAAATGAAAGCATCCCACACATAAGGTAGATGGTTTCCTTTTTCATTACCCCATTTAGCATCTACAGGTAGCCTTTGACTTATGACCATAGATGGGACTAGAATTTTGGTTGCTAAACAACGTGGTCATAAACCAAGTCATTATGCAACTGGTCCCAACTTTATGAGGTTTGCCATGGTCATTAAGCAAATCATGTGGTTAATTGAATCATATGGCGGTCAACTGAATTCAGCTTCCCCAATTGACTTTGCTTGTCAGAAGTCATCTGGGAAACTCATAAATCGCAACTGTGATCATATGATTCTGCAACTGTCATAAATGTAAGCCAGTTGCCAAGCATCTAAATTATGATCACGTGAACATGAAGGAGATAAGATGGTCATAACTTCAAGGACAGGTGGTAAATCCTTTTCCAAGGCTTTTGTAACTTTGAACCATAGTTAAATGAAGAGTCATAAGGACTATTAATATTTCTGTTAAATGTGCTTAATATATTTGCTTCAACTTATTTATTGATCTACAAACAATTCCACATGACATATTTTGTTTACATCTCTGTGGTACTATAATATGCTGAGAAGCAGAGAGAGGGAAACTATCTTTCAGAATGATTCAAGGACAGATAACTCTTTTTAAATGTAACAATGCTATTTAGGGGTGAAGTTTCATTCTCTGAGCTTATGGGTTGGTTTCCAAACGTTTCAGAACAAAATGTTCGGAAACCAACCCACAAGCTCGGAAAACAAACCTTCACCCTCATCCTACACCCAATATTTGCCAGTACTGCAGTGATATTTAGGTTACTTGGGCAGTCTACATTTTCTATATGTCTCTGCTATCTTTCCTTCTGAAACATAAAATGACTGCCAGCCTTAGCATCCAATTCTATCAAATTACACACTGACCTGGCCTGAAGTCTCCTGACAGTTTCCTCATCTTGACGGGCTTGTTTCTCATCCTCCAAAGCTTCCTGCAGTTGATTATACATCTCCTCAAGTTCTTTGACTCTCAGTAAATACTGCTCAAGCTCAGATGATTTCTGAGCAACCTGTTCTTCCATTTTCTGTCTTACCTAGAAAACAAGAAATGAATGAATGCTTCATTATCCCTCAGGATAAGCAGTGCTGCCTATTTCCATGAGAGAGAAGAAGAACCTTTGCAGCTTTTCCTTTTTGTCCAAACGTGCACGTGCTTAAATATATCATTAAAGAAACCATGTCACAGCTAGCCCATTCTTTTGCTGACATGTACCATTTTTTCTCTCTCCAGTTCAAGCTTGAATCGATCTTGTAATTCCATCTGAGTCTGCAGACGTTTTGTCTCTTCTTCTGACGCTCGAGCGGCTGCTTCATCAAGTTGCTGGCCAAAGAAAGAAAAACAATTATCATCTGTTTCCAGTTAATGTACACGCGAAAGTACAGATCAACTATTTAGTATGTACCGATAAACATACTTCTAACATTTTTTGATAAAAGCAAAAATTTTATCAAAGGGAAATATATACCGGTCTTTGTGGGGACCTCACCCCTTTCCTAAGAGGTCTGTAGGGGGAGTGCATAAGCGCACCAACGTGCCTACCGTCCCTGTCCTATTGTTTCTCTTATTCTTTTATTTTTCTTATATGTACCCATTTCATGTATTCACAACTATGTATACACTTATACTTATTATCTTGTAAACAATTGGCAAATCAAATAAATAAATAAATAAATAAATATATTCAAAATTAAAAAGAAAGAAATGGTGTGCATCAAAAAGGGGTAGTCCAAGTCTTCCCTGAGGCTTCATGCAAAACATTCTGAAAAGATCAATCGGTATCAGCTCTTAAATGGTGCATAAACAATAAAAAGTTGGTGAAAGATTAAACTCTACATAGGTTTCTATAGAGCTGGAGATAAGATAAGCATTTCCAAAAATAGCAGTCAACACTCATGCAAAACCTGTTCCTTCTAGCTCCAATTTACTCTGTCAAAGTACGTAAATTATAATATTTTGTTGCACAAGAAGTATGAGAAATTTGGGAAGTGAATTTCTCTAGTAAAGTAATCTCCACATATTTTGAGGCACGCCTAATTAGAAGTTTCTGAATGGTTTGGTTAAACAAAAACAAGGAAGTAGTATAAAGGAGCACTTGTGCAACATTTAATGCTTACAGTAGCACCACTATTGGCTCCTAATTTTCTCAATCTGCTGTTAGGAAGGCACATTTCAATGACTCAGGTAATTTGGCTTGGCTGAACTGGCATTTCTTTCTATCAACAACTGAACTTTAGGTTTGAATTAACACACCGATTCAACAAATTTTAAATAATTCTTGGTTTTGTTAGGTTGCTATGCTGCTTAAAAAAATATAGCAAGCCACCATCAGTGTGAAATGCCCCAATTCTGCATCTATCACAGCATGTTTTTCCAGAACTTCAGAGCGATACAATACTCCTGCCTCGTTTCATAAGTATTCTCAGTTTTCTTGGATTTATTAGTTGACTAATACTGGAACTTTTCCTTTAGAATCAGACTGAATTATATAAAGAATAGCTTTTACATGCTATATTCTGCTCTTGTATATTTATTCTTTGCTTGAAGGCTCATTTCATTTTACATTGAAAGCTCAGATGTAAAAATATATCTCATTCTACAATCATTATTAAAGATATTTTAGATGTGCATATGTCCAATTTTAGCTGTGAAATATCCTAACAATTCTGCAATGATCAAAGCTGCCAATGAAGATCTGGCATCTTAGTTATTATTTAAAGACGGCTATGCTTTCATAGGCATAAAATACTCATGCCTATGAAAGCAATTAGGAGCGGGGGAAGGGAAGCAGACACTCTTATCATTTCTTTAGTCTGCAAAATTATTTCAAGCTGAAGTGAGTGCCTGGCGTCACCAAAGAAATCTCTCCTTGACTGTAAAACAACTAAGATAAGCAATGTGCAAATTATTGGGAAAAACTTCGCTGCGTTATCATTCCAAATGAGAACTTTTGTGGTTTCCGTACATAGCATTTTTCTTCTAACAACTCTTTCTTTAAATCCAGTAAAACATCTATATTCATCCCCAGTCTTTGTGGGGACAAACAATTTCTCCTGCTCACTCAGTTTTCCATAACATAACACTTCCAGGTACATTTAGGAAGAATGATGCAACATTACCAATTATCTGTGGCAATGCTGTAACAGATATCTTAAGAAGGAACTTCACCAATCTGTTCTGCTTTCTTAATGGCCTGAAGACTTGATTTTAGACAATAATGTTTAAGGCACTTTCCTAGGACAGTACACTATATTATTTTCATATATTAATACATACATTGCTATAGTCATAAACCATAGTGTAGTGGTTAAGCTACTGGACAAGGAATGGATAGGCTGGTTCTAGTTTTCCCTTAGCTATAGAAGCCAGTCATGAGGCCTTGGGCCAGTCAATCCCTCTCAATCCTAATCAATGTCAGATTCTGCAGTGAGCTGGCTGAAGCACAACCTCCTCATGGCATCATACATTGACAGTTCTGCTGCGTGAACAAAGTGAGTCTGAAGCAAAATCAGAAGACCCTACTATCTAAAAGGACAAGATATTTTTAAGAACACCATCAACCAAGAATAAGAACTAAGAACAATGACTTCTACAGTCCCCTCAAATCCCTGGCCTCAGAAATATAGTTTACAATTAAAATATTAACCCTACATTCTAGAACGTTACAAAATCTCAGATTTACCTTTCTGACAGTTTCCAGTTCTTTCTGCTTATTTTCATTTGCTATTTGGAGCTCTTTCATTTGTCTCTCCAATTCTGCTTGTTCCGCCTGCAGTTTTTGGCGTAATTCTTTCCGTTTCTGTCTTGCCTCTTTATGAGGTGAAGGGCTTTTTAATTTCAGCAGATTTACTGTTGTCTGAATGGCTAAATAATGAGAATAGCCACAATAATATTTCTAGTTTAAGCCCATAAATACCTTTATTACTTTTTCAGTCTTACAATGCTGTTTGGTTTCTAACATTAGGCCACCAATAATTTTAAAAATAAAACCACATTTGTTTGCCAAAAAACCGCATAGTGTATCAATATCAATATTTTAATAGTGTTATATAATTATAGCATGTGAAATATCAGAATGAAAACAGTTAATATCAAATACAATTTATAGTTTGTAATAATGCTAGTTCTCCATACAATGAAATAATTTTTTCCGCATAACCACTGCAAAGGGGGGTTTATCTGTGATAAAACCAGTCAGATGTACAATCAGATATATAACACAGAACCAAAACATTTGGCCAGAAGAGAGAAACAGAAATAGTAGTTAGATTAGATAATTATTTAATTCAGAATAACAGAGCTGGAAGGAACGTTGCAAGTCACCTAGTCCAACTTCCTGCTCAGGCAGGGGAGCCTATGGCATTTCAGGCAAATGGTTGTCCAATCTCTTCATTGGGCTGAAGCTTTTGTCTTATTAAAAGTCAGATTCACAAGACTTCACAACAGGCACACAAACTAGAGGGTCCATTAAGCAGTGAATAGAAAAACAGAATTTGCAAGCTTCCCCACTGGCTTCTATCTATCAAGCAAAACAGTAAAAGTTTACCTTGAATCCACTCCTGTTTCTTCTTCTTATCGGAGGCACTAATTTCAAAACATTTCTCTAAATTATTTATAAGAAAGAGACATTTTTTGCCATCTTTGTCGGGCAAGCCCTAATAAGAGAAAATTAAATTTAGTTTCCTATGAAGCATAGCAAATATGACATTGAACTGACATTCACAATATTGTTTCTTACTTCAGAGCCTATGAACATATGAAATACCCCAACAATAATATCCCCATGCACAAAAGTTAAACATGAATGAATGTTATATCACTTTTTTCCTCCCTAAAGCAAGGTAACAAGGCATGTTTGCGGGGGGGGGGGGGGGGGTCCTTTTTTTTTTTTACAAATTTTCTCCCAGTGTCATGAAACAAAATGTGCCATAGATAATCGTATTCACAGAAAATATTTGAGTGATCTGCATTTTAGAACACCCATGATATTAAGATGAAAATGGTGTTGATCAATGTTGTTCACAAGGAAAGTACTTTATTCTGAATTATATTTGCAAGATCTATTTGCACTTCTAATGTAGTCTTTGCAGGAACAGACATAAATTAAAATAAAGTGTGCAATTTTTTCTAGCCATGTCAGAGAAAAAAGCCCAGCTCCACAGTCTATATAGAATGCTACTCTTTTTCACTAGTTAACAAATTCCATAAATTAAGAAAGAATCCTGAATGGACATTTCAAAAAATAAAGATTTCTTCCCTCTTTATATGAACACTATTATTAGCACTCCATTGTATTCTCTATGAAAATAAAAATTCCAGAATTTATCCAACACGTTGAATCAAATATATGTAAGTTAAATTATTTTCATATTCATCATCTAGAAGAGTATTACTTTCTAATCATTTATTTATTTTTTACCTCTACAGTACAGTTGCCATCCAGTGCAATATCTCCTCTTTTGTCTTTTAAATCTTCACTAACATAGTACGATATAGCATTTGGTTTTAAAACAAACCAACGTTCTGTCCAGTTTTTTCTTTTGTGACCCTTCTTCCACATATAACCCTATAAAAACAATGAAATAATTCCTTTATTACATTATTTTAACTTGGAATGTTTAAATTCTGATCCCAGTTCCAGACACAATTAATTTCAAGAGATATTAATCAGACTTTTCAATCCAATCACTGGAAGGGTAGGATATTTATTTTTATTACTGGCTAGGTGGGAGTGGCTAGGTGGGAGTGGCCATGTGATTGGGTAGGTGTGGCTTTTTTTCAGCACACACACACGCCCCATGCCCTTTTTGCCTCCTGGACCTCAGGGAAGCCTCCTGGACAAAGCAGTAAGACAGAGAGGGGGATCCCGGCACAGGGAAAAAGAAAAAAGAAATACCGGTTCAGCCGAACCAATATCTGTTTTGTTACTACCAGTGCAGCCGAACGGAAGCATTTTTGACTACCGGTTCGTCCAAACCGGACCGAACTGGTAGAATACCACCACTGAATCACTGTAGGCATTTAAACATAATTTTTAACAAGCACGGTTTATGAAAAACCATCAGAGTAATTCAACTTTTTATCTTCAGTGAGAAAAAAAAAACGTAAATCACCGATTTTGATACTTATTGTATGGATGGAAGGTCTTTTTTGCCAGTAAGCAGAGCTCACCCTCAGCCTCTATTTCTACCCATGAAATTTTTTTTTTAGCTTAAAAATTCTACTGCCAGATACCCAAAAAGCAATAGGTTCTACAATACATTATTCTGGTTTCCCGACCAGGTGTGAATTCACTGGCTGTAAAGTTCTTTTGACCAGTTGATTGGGCCCTTCTATTATATCTTTTAAATCCCACCTCCCAACTTCTGTTCATTTGAAAAACCATTCCAGTTATCAAGTATAAAGTGGTAAACAGCAGAATGTTGAACATGGAAAAGGATTCATTACATTCTTCCATCAAATTCCAGGGATTAGAAAATAAGGAAGATAATTATACATTTCCATCTGAAAACTACAAAGTAGCAAAAATTAAATTATAAACCCTATATAAAGTAGTAACATTAGTACAGGACCTGTACAATGTTCATGTTTTGAAAAAAATGGGAATTACGAAGCCTCAAATCAGGATTGCTTGCAAGAAATGTATAGGGGGAAAAGCATATAGCTACAAGGCTCCTGGCTACAACTTCAAACAATTCAGAATTATACAGATAATCAGAGTTGGAAGGGACCTTGTAGGTCATTTAGTCCAAGCGGGAGACCCTACACCATTTCTGACAAATGGCAGTCCAATCTCTTCTTGAAAGTCTCAACTGATGGTGCTCCCACAACTTCCGAGGGCAAGCTGTTCCACTGGTTGATTGTTCTCACTGTCAGAAAGTTTCTCCTTATTTCCAGGTTAAATCTCTCCTTGTTCAGTTTCCATCCATTATTCCTTGTCTGGCCTACAGGCGCTTTAGAAAATAGCTTGACCCCTTCCTCCCTGTGACAGCCCCTCAAATATTGGAAGACCGCTATCATGTCTCCCCTGGTCCTTCTCTTTACTAGACTAGCCAAGCCCAGTTCCTGCAACCGTTTGTTGTATGTTTTGGCCTCCAGTCCCCTAATCATCCTGGTTGCTCTTCTCTGTACTTTTTCTAAAGTCTCAGCATCTTTTTTATAATGTGGTGCACAAAACTGGATGCAGTACTCTGGGTGTGGTCTTACTAAGGCTTTATAGAGTGGTATTAGTTCCTCCCTTGATCTTGACTGTATTCCTCTGTTAATACAACTTAGGATTACCATAGAATCTCTCGGGATGTCATGGAAACAAGGCTTTTGCATAAACCTGCTTCCTTATGCCTCACCCAGATAGTGGCAAACATAGGTAAAACCATAACATGAATGTTTTATCTATGTGGGCTGAATATAAAATCCTGTATGGTGAACTACAAAATTTCTTAAGCAATTCCTTAATTGCTCCACTCTCACCTGATTCTAGAGCACAGAAGGTCAAGCCTAGTAGCGAGATATGCAATATGCATCCTTCCTTCCATTCTCTACTGGAACTTCATTTAAAATGTAAACAATATTTAGTATCTAAAACATATATTTAAACTGATTACATCAGAGTCCCCAACCCCTGATCCATTGACTGGCACCTGTCCGCAGCATGCCAGAAACCGGGCTGTGCAAATAAGCAAAGCCCCATTTGCGGGATGCAGGCAGCATGTAAACCAGGCCCCCTCCAGTCCACGGAAAAACCTCTCTACATGGAACCAGTCCCTGGTGCCCAAAAGGTTGGGGGGGGGGGCTGCTCAATTACTTGATGTAAAGAAAATTGGTCTTTGAAAGGCACAAATTATCATTCAGTATCAAATAACTGTTGAAATGTTAAAAGATAGTACATACCTGTTAGAAATTATTATCCACTTTGTAAACTATATAAATGGTGTGAGACAGAAAGAAATTCACATTTAAAGATAGATCATTCTATCATTTAACATGAAATAATTTACTAGACACTAAAGACTGAAAATGCTATGAATCACCCCTTGAACCTTTGGCTGCCTACTAATTTTATTAACATAAATACAGTGGTGGGATTCAATTTTTTTTTACTACCAGTTCTGTGGGCGTGGCTTGGTGGCTGTGGCAGGGGAAGGATACTGTAAAATCTCCAGTCAGAGGTAGTATTTGCCAATTCTCCGAACTATTCAAAATTTCTGCTACCGGTTCTCCAGAACTGGTCAGAATCTGCTGAATACCACCTCTGCATAAATACCCACCAGGTTGTTTTTCTTTCTTAAAATGTTGCAATATGAAAGAGAACTCACATTAGAACCACAGATTTGGAAATGACTACTTAAGCATCAAATCCAATAGCCTAATTGTAAAGGAATCCAAATTCAAGCATCCCAGAAAAATGGCCATGCAGCCTCCACCTGAACTAATTTGATAAAAGGGAGCCCCACCATCTTCCTGCATAATCAGTTCTGTTGTCAAACACTTCTTATTGTTAAGAGACTTCTTCCTTCCCTAACATTCAAGCAGAATCTGCCTTCCAGTAAATTAAATTCATTTTTTCATGTCCTATATTCTGGAACAGATGTCTTCTACAGTATTTGACATTCATTCACATATCCAGAGAAAGACAGCTAAACTAGCCCAGAATTTTCAATCACTATTTATAGGTTACAGTTTTTAGTCCCCTGAACATCTTCATTGCCCTTCTCTAAATATGTGCCAGTTTTTTTCAAATCCTCCTTAAAGTGTGGTGTTCAGAACTGGACACAGTACTCAAGATGAGGTATAAATAGAATAGGGTGGAAAGATTACTTCCTGAGTTTCAAAATCATGCTTCTATCGATGCAGCCTGAAATTGTATTTTTTTTGTTTCAAGCCACCTTACATTGTTGATTCATAGTTTACAATCCATTATAGATAGTCCTTGCTTAGTGACCCCAATTGGGACCAGGAAATCCATCGCTAAATGCTGTGATCGCTTAGTGAAAAACCATGTGACTGTGACAGACTTATAATGTCACTTCCCATTTGCTTGTTATGTGAGTTGTTAAGCAAGACATCACATGATTGCAACTTGAAATTTTACTTCCTCATTCTCCATTAACTCTGCTTATCAGAATTCTTTTGGGAAGCACAAAAATGGTGATTGCTTGACCACAAAGTACTATGACACTCATAAATGTGAGGAGAAGTGGCAAAGCTATTGTTTTTACACCACTGTAACTTCGAACAGTCATTAAACAAGAAATCTGGTCATGAGGACTACCTATACTACTCCAAGATATTTTTCACATATCTCACGTTCTACAGTACATGCATGCATATGATTTTTGTATCCTAATAGACCTTTGCATGTTAAATCAATAACATAACCACAATACTGGTTAAACATAAAGAAAAATAAAGGAACGTTGTATGCATACAGCAAAACCAAATAAACAGACAAGCACCGCACTAAATAAGCTCATCTACTATGGGGCCCTAATGTCTGGGTGGGAAACCAGATACCTGGCTCTCCCAGGTACCAATGATAGACTGACTAGCATACAATCAGCTAACTCTTCCCTTTTCTCCTTTCTGAAGTTGGGAATACTGCTTTCTATCTTCCAAACCCCTGGCAATTCACAAATCCTTCAGGATGCCTCAATGATACTGCATAGGAGCTTGGTTAGATTAATTCCTTTAATATCCTAGGATATCATTTATCTGGTCCTGGATATTTACATTCATTTCAAACATATAAATATCACCATCCATTGTTCTGTCAGTCTCAAGATCCTTCAGTTCTGATCTTCACAATGTTCTGACACACGACAAAAAGTTTTGTTGAAGAAGACCCAACTAAAGCAAGAGTTGAGAGGCTCTGCCGCTTGATTATTATGGTTCATCACAGACAGACAGGTATTCTATCCTATCTGCCTTTCAGAAAGTTATTCATTTTGGGCAATCCACAAGTTTCAGTTAAACGTTTATGAACCTTAACTAAATCAGTTTCTTTACTATTGTCCCCTTCTCTTTTACCTGTTTTTAGAAATCTGAATTGTAGTGCCAATTCACCAAACACAACAAACACACATTTTATATTTTTAAAGATAAAAACTCTCCAATGCTTTACTGTAAGAAGGATGCATTATCCTTATAACAAAGCACAATCCAAATGCTGCTGAATCTCTGCAAAGCAGTGAATTAAGTTTAAAGAAAACTAGATTTAAGCTAAGCATGTTAGATCAATTGCAACAGTTTGACAACTTTCCTAAAAATTTTCTTGAAAGGCAAATGAGGCATTTAAAAAAAAATACCTTAGCATACAATATCGGAGCTTCAGGCAGCAATGTAATGTGATTGCATGAGGCATTGTGATCTATCTGATCAGTGATCAGAAGCTTGTGCTGTGCTCAAAAGAGATTTAATCTCTTATACTTTGGGGAATATTAGTAAATTTCCTGACAGAACTGGGTCAGATGTGCAAGCAATCCTTAGGGGACTTGGTTGCATTAAAAGCAAACCACAATTGACATGTGATTTAAACAAACCTTTCCCATCCTTCCCCCTTCTTAGCCATGCACCTGGACTTCTGAGGTTTACACTTCCTCTTTATGCCCTCATATGCTCCGTGTTTCATGTCATATTCAAATCTGAGACACCGCAAAATAAGTTTATACTTTTTTGTTGTTGAATTCAAGCTCTGCAAAACTTTGTTCTCTTTGCTTTTAAGATACTTATCACCACATTACTGCTTAGATTGTGGCAAACAGGATATTGATAACCACCCATTTGCCCATAAGGTCACACTTTGACTGAGGTGACAGTGGATGGCCAAGGCCGGATTCCCTCATGTGATGACTACCACCTCCTCAGGCTGCTTCAGGCAAGGGACAAGCACTGCACAGGTGCAGAAAACTGCTTTGTTTCCTTGCCCTCCTGTGGCCATTAGCCAAGTGAAGGAGCACATGGCAACTGCACAGAGCGGGACCTGACTCGGCTTCTTCTCTGTCCCCTGAGTGTGTTTATTTAGATTTGATTTCTAGTTTCTGATTGACCTCACATGGGCTGGAGAGAGACAGCCAAAGGGCCGGATATGGCCCAGGGGTCATAAAATGCCCAAGTCTGATCTAGGATATCATTTCAGTCTTGGGAGTAAAGCTAGTCAAATCCTCAGTACGTGGTTTGCATGACATTAGAGGACTTAGTTGCCTGGGGTAAGTTAGCTTAGCCCTTAAATAAGTACGAGGATGCTTGGAGGGCAAATCTATTTTGATTGGTTATATCTAATATAATCCATTATAATTCTACCATTATAGAAAATTATAATCTATGGGTTAAAAAAATTTGCATGGCATGTTTACCTCCCACGAGCCATGTTTGGTAATGGGCCAAAAATCCCATGTTAAACTGTTAATGTTTTAGTCAGAAATGGTGCCACTGAATTACTGGTATAGGAGTTCTATGATGCATTTTGTACCCTGTGATAAAATACAAACTGATGTAGATGAAGAATTTTTAGAATTTTAACTTTCATTTCAAAAACTCTTCTAGCAGTGAATATCTATTACCTTTCATAAAGAACACAGCAAAAGTTTTTCAATTCAGAGTTCTTAACTTCTTATGAGTTGCGGAAGTTGATTAAAATAATGAGAATTTGTTTGTCTAATTTATATAGCTGCCCATCTCAAGTAACTTTTTGTAACACAAAAAATATTTTCAAACTACATTAATTTCAATTATTTTTATACTGAGAATTTTAGCTTTCCTTCATATAAACTGTACTCACTAAAACAGCTTTTCTAAACAAAAAATGTTTTGTCTCCATATAGTTTTATGAGGCATAAATAATGCTGCATAATTCATTCAAGTTCGCCTGTGTGTAGGCTGATCTTACCTGTTTTAATACATCCAATATAAGTTCACTGAAGACTTCATTAATGCCCATTGCCACAGTTGGTCCATCCATCCCTTTGCTAAACCGACCATTTCCAATGAGCTCAATCAGTTCCCAAGCAGAAAGACCTTCCCAACTGGCATACAAACTGATCTTGTAATGTTCAAACTGTTCTTGATGCCAACCTAATCCCATTGCTTCTGTCAGCTTCTTAAGCAAATATTCAATCTGTCCAGGAAAAGACACACAACGGCTGAATGAATATAACAAATATGTGTAGGAAAAACTATTACTCTAAAATGTTTCTCACTGCACAACTGCACTTTTTTTGAGTGTTCCTTCAAGTCAGTGTTTGATTCCTGACAATTGCCTGAACATGCCCCTGCATTTTTCTTGGCAGTTTTGGAAAATGGTTTGCCACTGCCTCTTTCTGAGGGCTGAGAGAGACTAAGTGTCCTAGAGTCTCCCCTCTGGCGTCATGCCTCAGCACTAGAACTCACAGTCTCCTAGTTTCCAGTCTAGTGCCTTAAACACTAAATGCAACCAACTCTCTTGTACCACTCAAAATATTGGCCAGAATAAGAAAAAGTGAAAACTACACAAGAACTATATGCTGAACTATATGCTGAACTAACTTTGGAAGTTACTGGTACATTAAAAAGTATGTTTTTAAGGCAGTTTTCAAGCTAATAAATTATTGCATTCCTGACAGACAGTGTGTCAGTGTGTCAGTTAGACTAAGTCTATTTCAGCTATATTTCCCCAAAGGCCATCCAGTGTTTATAAGAGATCCATTAGTGCGATATGAAAGGTCTCTGGGCTTGGAATTAATATAGCCATCAAGATTGGTAGCCACTGATTCTTTGTTCTCCTTTTAAAACTCATCTGAGGTACTGCTGTCATCAGCCTGATTTTTAAGAGAAAAATAGCCCTGTTTCAGTGATACATGCTGTTGCATGGACCAACATACACAGAATTGATGGATCATTTTTTTTCTCTTAAAAACCAGTGGAGACAAATTACTCTTTTATGTAAAAAATACTGTAAAAAGTCATCAGTTCTACTTGGGTGAAATAAAAAAAAAAGATGCTAGAAATAACTCTTTCATACCTCTTCTGGCACAATGATTAATGGATATTTGTCTTCAGATAGAAAATTGAAGATGACCCACACTTTAAAAGCATCATCATCAGTAAGGAGTAAGGGTTTTTTTGTGAGATTTTTTCTGGCACACAGAGTCCAGCACATTTTATAGAATTCAACTTTGTCAAAGTTGTCTTGAACCTAAATAAAAATAAAAATAAATAAAAATATGGTACAAGACTCAACAATAAACTCTGGATGACAACAGCAGCAGTGGGAAGATGTTGTAAATTCCACTCCTAAACCAAAAGCAAAGAAGCATTTTCTCAAGACAACTGAAGCGATACCTATTGTGTAAACTTTCTCAAAAACCACCTCTCTGGCTATTAAACATTGCACTTCATCTGCTTCCTTGATTACACTGAAAAAAAAAAAATCTTTTCTTTTACAACCTTGTAATCCCTTAATTTAGAATATATTCGGGGCAACTGAATGAAGCTGAGCATTTACTGGCCGGATGCCTTCCTGATGCCTATGTGGAGTTTGCAACGGGTATTTTCTTTTTGCTCCTTGAGAGAGAAACATCTTCTACCTAAGGATTAATCATTCGAGTGGAAGGGGAGCATCTACACCACTAGGCCAATACACCACTCTTGACTACACTGAAAATACTAGCCAAAAAAAAATATCTTTGTTCAGTCTTTATATGCTACTCATTTTTGCAGCAAACACTGGTTTTGCTTCCTTTTTACCCTCAAGGCCACATTATACTCAAGTATAAATATTCTTTAAGAAGCAATTGTTTAAAAACCATGAGGTTGCTTGACACTTTTTGCTATAACATAACTTGTTCTTAATTAGAAGTTTCAGATTCAAAAACTAGATAGTAATAAAAAAAAAGAACTGTACTACCATTTGCTTCTTTTTGCTAATCTGCCAGCCTGGGCATTTCTCCACTTCATTCTCAGTTCAACAGTACACACTTTGTTGAAGGCTGAGACTTGCCAACTGAGCTAGATAATTAATTCATTTGCCATCAAGAGCACAAGAGAAAGTATTTTGTAAATCTAATTGGTATGGTCAAGGTGTTTTGCAGGAGAAATGTGAAACAGGAAAACAAATTTCATGTTAAACCAAGGGTTTGTTGTTTTTGTTGTAGATTGTCACAGGAAAATTAACTTGAATGATCTGTGTATAGATAGCACAGAACCAGTGCTCTTAATACAGCTAAATAAACTTTCCAGATTTCAGTCAAAGCAAGCAAGCAATAAGAAAACTGTATATGATAATTGGTAAAATATAATCTTTTCATGAAGTATCAAAGCCTAAGAAACTGTATTTATATTAACACAATACAGTGATACTTGGAATGTATGCTCAGAAACCTCTGTATTCTTAAAACATTGATATGCAAGCAATCACTTTAACCGAACAGATTTTTCAATCAGTAACCAATACATTCAGGTCGATCCATATATAGTAAGAAGCTATGTAGCACCTACTAAAGAACAGTGGTGGGTAGCAAAGAGGTTTACCATCGGTTCGGTGGGTGTGGCTTGGTGGGTGCGCTTTGCATCAGGCTTTCCTACTCACCTCCTGCAATCCTGCACTCTCCCTGTAGCTTCAACAGCTGACACACAGCAATCTGCTGTGCCTTGCAAAGCAGCTACACTTCAAAAGCAGGGAATAAAGGTCAGTATGGGAGCCCGGCAGGCAGGTGGGCCCAACGGCAGCTCATCAGTGAGAACTGATTCGGTCTCCACTGATCTTTGGTGCTACCGGTACGTCAGGACTGGGCTGAACCGGTAGAATAGCACCACTGCTAAAGAGCATGGTAAAAGGCCAACCATATTCTACCCTATCACATTAATATGAAGACATTAATATGGGAGGAAATGGGACTGTCACTTCCCTCCCCTGTGTTCCCAACCTGGCTCAGACAATCAGGCATAGGGTTTGCACTGAAAAACAACTTTAATCAGAAGCCAATGAAAACATTTTCGCTTATGCAAACTGCATGGAATTTGGTCTTGTTTGGGACCAAAGTTAATTTTTGTTCTGTGTTAAATTTTCAATCTAAATTAATGTACCACTACCTTGCTTAAGAAACAGGAGCTGGCACATTTGCTTATTACATTTAAAGATGGTGTGTTGTTTAACACTATATGCAGAACACATATGCCTATCATGTGGGTAATTCAAAACTGCTTCTTTGAATCTCTGATTGAAAATTATCTTCTACTAGGGAAAATAGCCTATATTTAGGAAAGAAAGAATCATGTAAAGGGGCTGTAATAATGACACACAGAAAATCTTACCTGTCCACTGTGTGTGTGTGTGTGTGTGTGTGTGTGTGTGTGCCTTCAAGTCATTGCTGATTGCTGGCAACTGCTTGGACAGGTCCATGCAATGTTTTTGGCACTGCTTTTCCTAGGACTGAGATAAAGTGACTGGCCCTGAGCCATCCATCTGACTTTGACTTAAACAGGGCTAGAACTCACAGTCCGTCCGTCCGTCCGTCCCCCCAGGTGTCTAGCTTGGTGGTTTATATCATTACATCAAACTGCTTCTCAACTGGCTTCCCAGAAATCATTAATTTAAAGTTTTTCACAGTTTTGGGAAGCCACAATTTCTTAGAACTTTGCATATTTCTCACCTCCTCCAATGTCAAAGAAGCAGATAGAGCAGCCTATTTAGGAACCCTTATTTCATGTGTTACCAAATACCGAAAATTCCTCTCCAGAAACTAACTACTTTCCAGTGTGTGTAACTTTAAAGGAGAAAGTAATCCTATACAGGGACATCATCTGGCCTTTTGGAAAGAAGTAACCCAGACCTCAGTCTAATTCTTATGTTCCCCCTCTCCACTTCGGATCAATCTCTCAACTTAATATGAAGGCAGATTCTTAAAACCAACCAGTTTTTGCATAAGAGAAAATCCACTCTTTGCATAATCAGATATTTAGAGAAGTGCGAAATGATTCTACAGCTTCCTCATACCTGAAATCAGGTATTTATTATTGGCTTCCAAGTTGGGTGTATTCACCCAGTCACTGATTTCATTAAAATGATGAAATAACATTGAAAAAATAAAGCTCAGGGGATTTTATTTATAATTAGAAGTTCAGAACAAGGAAGTTCACCTTTTGGACTTTCCACACTTTAAACACATTGCCTTCACTCAGAAAAAATGTTTAGCTTCATTAAATATTAAGTTATTTAATTTAATAAGTTAAATATTTACATCTTATTTTATTTCCAGATTTTGCTACTCACATTTTTAAAAGGGCAAAAGCAGGTTCTTCAAAGTGTCATATATCCTCTAATTTTTAAAAAGTATCACATTAATGATGATGGCAAACTATAATACCATAGCAATCAAGATAGTTTTAATATTTGCACCATTTGCACAGTTCTAACATTGTCACCAAATTTAGTGACGGCACTCAACTTTGTTGCTTTACACATGGCAGAATAAGTATGTGCCCAAATGGTGTTTTAAATATATCACTAAATCAGCACAGAAGTATTCTTGATTTAGACCAGTTGCTTAGCAGCTGTTCAAAGTAACGACAGTCCTCCCCAGGAACTTATTACCTGGTTCAAAAGTTCCAATAGCCACCCCAATCTGCAGTCTTGTTACTTCATTTTGGGTGCTGAGCATAATTTTTAGACAGAATCTCATAGAATTTTGTCCTACTGACAATTAAATCTTATAATTTTTACAATTTCTTATTCCTTCACTATTCTCTTTCCATTTTCATCCTCATGAAAACACAAGATTAATAACAAAGCCATAGGTGATAAATCTGAGCTATTTTTTTTTCTATATCTATTCCACACTTCTAACTTACTGCTTATTGAATTATTATTGATTGTTATACACTGTATCAAGCTGAAAGTGTTTATATAAATCATATGGAAATCCTGCTCTCTCAACTAGTCTCCTGGCTAACTTACATAACAGGATTGATCATACAGTTTGAAGTTTGGCATTGTCAAGCTATCGTTTTTTTTTAATCTTGTAAGTTCTTAAATTTAATTTCCTTCTTTTGTCAAACCATATAAAGATAGTTAGTTGTCTTTTCTACTCATTAATATCCTATTTTTAATCATTATTAAAATAATTTGAACCAGCAAGCTTTGGCAGAATGTGATTATATCTCTTTGAAGCAAATCTAGATTGATTGATATAACTCAGGCTTTATTCTCCCTGCAATTATTGCTGTAAAAAATACTCTATATTCAGTAAAAAAATAACCACTTTAGACTGCATTCTCAGTCAAATGATCAGAGGGAAGAGGCAGACAGTATATAAATTCTGAGTCAACTCTTTTCCCTACAAGGAAGCGTTGTTTTTTTTTAAATTCATTTGGAACTTTTTCTCTACAGTTCCTGGTTGGATCCTTCCTATTTCCAAATTTGATCCTCCTCCTCCTCCTCCTCCTTTTTGTATCTCTGTTCATTTTGGGGAGAGTTATCCTGATGACTAACAACAGGCATGATATTCCCCTCTGGAAAAAAAAAATCTGAAAAGTAGCCAGGGGTGCAGGGGTTGCCTAAGCACCCGCCGCGATCCGCGCAGCGCCCTGGTGGGAATTAAATTGGCAACGCCCCCTTGAAGCTTTAGCAGAGTAAAGTAATCAAAAGTGATTTTTCAAGGTGAGTCTGCATGATAGTTTTATTGTTTGACAAAAAATAATAATAAAAAGCACCATAAGAATGCTCTCGGGCAAAGGATTTCACATTTAAAAAATAAAACAAATAAACAAAAACAACAAACAAACCCTGCTTAACAGACAGAAAAACAGCCACAATGCTTCACCTCTAATTGGACTTTCTCTTTGTTCCCTTTCCTTTGATCAGCATTGCTTCTCTATGCTTCTTTCTAGCTAGTTGAGCTGATAGCATAACTTTGAGTCTGGCCTGTCTTTTGGCTACAGTTGTCTTCCTCTTCAGTTCCAGATTGGCCCTCTTTGCTTTTAAATCCAAAACAGCTGGAGGGGACCATGTTGCAGAAATGTGGAGTAGTTGCAACCATGAAGCATTCTTCTATGAAAGGTGCTATAACATTTTTCTGGTTCTTTAAGGTGCCACAAACTTAGGTGCCACACATGTTAAAGTAGGAAGCTCAGGCAGTGCAATATGCCTTATCTTTTATGATGGTGGGTTGGGGGCTGCAACTATTATTTGACCTTTAAAGTCACAGAAGAGGAAGTAATATCAACGTTAAGTCTTGTTGGCCAAATCTTCGCTACAGGTATCCCACACAGCTACACAAAGAGCAGTGAAATCCAACTTCCTAAAGAGAAACCGCCTTCCCTCTGCCTTAAGAAATCTGTCACTTGAGCGAAGCAGCATTTCTTTCAGTTGCTTAGTAATCCGTGTAGTTCGTCGCCGACCGCCTCCCCCAGGACAATGGAGGGTTGGCTAACAATAGCTGAACGAAGCTCTTTTCCTCCCGAGCCTTTGCGCTCTGTAACTCCTGGGAAAGTATAAGCTTTTCTTCTTCCACTCAGCCGAGCATTTTCGTTCCCGCCCTGCCTCCAAAGACGCTTCCTTCGGGGCCAGGGGGTGGAGGAAATCACCTGAAGCTGGCTGCGTGTGTGGGAAGAGAAGAGGGAAAGTGGGGCAATATTGGCGGGAACAGGAAGCGAGCCTTGGCGCCTCTGTTGCTTTCGGCGATGAAGGGGGAAGAGTGGCTTCTCCACCTGTTGTAGTTGGCCCCGACGAATGGAAAGACGTGTCGTCCTTTGCCAGCGTCCCCGCACCCGGCACGCACCACACACACACACACAAGCACACAACCCCACTCGCGCTCTAGTGAGTCACAAGCTGGTCAGGAGGACCGCATGGGAAGGGAGGGGCGCAAAGCCTTCGGAGCCGCCGCAAAGAGCGGGAGAGAAGCTCGCTCGAGCCCTGTCACAGCCAGCGCGTAGAGGCTCCCTCGCAGGCGGCGCCTGAGGCGTCTCGGTGCCTTTCCTCCAGGTGGTTCAAGCTGCAAGAAAGGAAAAAGGGAAGCATGTAGCTCCCGCAGTCCGGGCCATTTTGTGGGACAGTGAGCGAAGAAGGCAGATGCAAAAGGAGCCGGCCGCTGATGAAAAAAATCGGAATTCCGATTTTAGTCGGAAGAATATCATGTATGTAACAAGAATTCCAAGGCTTTACATATTTCCAATATTTTGTTCGGTTGGAAAGAACAAAAGTTTAAATTAAAACTAACCACACATTAGGAATAAAGGCACACATACCTTTTCCAAGATGAATCTATTTAAATAAGGCATATATCCCTGATTAGAAACAGGTCCTTCATCATCATCCCTAAAATGCTCTTCTAAGGCCACTGGATCATGAGGAACATTCAACAATGTGCAGAGGTTGTGAGAAAGGACCTAAAAATAGAGAAAAAAAATCAATTAAGATGATTTCATTGTTATTTTCCATACCTGTTTATATAGATTTCTGCAAAACAATACAGATATAGTTTGTTATTATTTTTTCTGGGATACTATATAATTCCTGATGCTATTAAATACTGAGGGAGAGGGAAACACTTGCAATATCACTTTTGAGAAAATACGGACTCCATTGGAATTAATGAAATATATGAATGACAAAAGGGAAGACCATTTGACCATACCTGCACTATAAAATTTGGGAGTTCATACATAATAATTACCATACCAAAAAAAAGTATACTGGCTTGAGAATGAGCATGTAAATCTATTTCAACTCTAGGCTTGAAATATAAATAAAGAAAAATGCTGTTCCACAAGTGATAGTCATAATCTTTCTTCCTTTATTCCAGAATTAGAATTTATGCTTGCTTTTTTTCCTTGCCAATGCTTAACACAGACACACACAAAAGTACCTAATCTCTTTGTCAATGTAGGAAGAAATGTATAGAAGCCAGTGATTTGCATATTTATAGCCAATACATTCAGCAAATGTATTAAAAGCAACAAAAGGGGAGAAGGCAAGTGTGTACTACTGGCTTGGAGAAGAGCGAGTCTCCTTGCCCGGAGGGTCCCCCTTGTGGTTCAGGTGCTGCTTCCTCAGGTGACAGCTTGGCAGTGACCAGGGCCTTGCTAAGTAGGAGTTTAAAGAGGGCTGGTTTAAAGACTAATGCAGAGGAGGGCTGGTCTGGACGCGAGTCTTCTTCCTCTGAAAGATTGCAATCACAGATTTCGCCCTCTTCGCACTCTGAACGAGAGAAGCAACTGTGTTCAGATAGGGAGGCGCCCTCTTCCCCTTCATAGTCCTCCCATTCTGCCTGTGAAGAATGGACCCTGAGGTCTTGGGGTCTGTGGAAATCTCGCTGCAGAGGTAAGGAAGCCATAAGTTGAGAAGGGAGAAGGGCCTGAACCCTTTCCAGAGGTCAAAAAATCTGTTGAAAGCCTTCAGCCAATCCCTGCCTAATGGCTAAGGAAACAACATCTTGGATCTCCCTGGGCCTGTTATCAAAGGTAGTGGAGGGCCGAAGGCCAGCTGCAGTGGGCGTGAAGGTGGCTTCTGGCCTGATCTGGGAGGCCTTAACTCTGGAGGGAAGAGAGGGGGCATAGGGCCCAGAAGTTTGCTGGAAATATGGCCCAGACCTGCTGAAATCCTGAGGTTGTTCCTCAAATGCCTCAGGGGACCAGACGGGGGCGGGGGTCCAAAGGCTCCATGAACAACTTCCCCTCCCCTGTGGGGGGGCTTCTCTGGAAACCCTGATGTTCGGCTGGCTGGGAAACCTATTGCAGTTGCCCTCTCATTTGTTGAATAGTCTTGTTAAATTGTCTCTCTAGAGCTGCATGTCTATGTTTCTCTGCCTTCAACTCAGTCTGAGTTGTCTTCTTAGGGGCTAGAGCCTTAGCTCTGATTTTTGCAGCCACTTCCCTCTGAGCAGTACGTTGTCTGCGTCTTTTCCTTTTAGTGGGTTGGAGGACCTGTTCCACTGGGGAGGAAAACTCTGCATGAGCACTGTCCGGATCCAATTTAAATAAGCAAGGCTCAAGAACTGAGAGAATGGCTCTCAAAAGTGCTTAAGGATGGTAGAGCGTGGAATTGGGTCTTTGGAGCCCTGAAAATGGCCGCCAGGCCACTTAAAATGGCCGCTCACCTCGTGTCTGAAGAGACTGCACTCAAAGATGGCCGCTGCTCATTGATGGCTCCAAGAAGTGAATTTCCTTAGGCTACTGCAAGCCCTGAGTGATCAGATCAGCCAGAGAAGGAAGAGATGCCTCCCACGCGATCAGCTGGCTGGCTCTGTTATCAATTTGCCGATCAGTTTTATGATCGGACAAACTGCAGCTATGGGGAAGGTCTCAGATGCTTCCTTGCTTGCCTAGCAGCGCTTGGGAAAATGTTTATCCCAACGTTGCAGGAGAACGGGGCCCCACTCTCCTGTAGTTGCAGTTGCCAAGATCCCCGGGAGCTGATTGAAGCAAGGGTAGCTTCTGTAGAAAATCACTGAATAAAGCTAACGCTTTCAGAGACACAGCTTGTGACTTAAGGAAACTGAGTCAAAGCTGGGGATTCTCCAGGGGCTGGCTTTTTATATATACAAGTACAGACCCAGCTTAATTATGTCATACGAAGGAGTCTACCCATCCTGGGCTCTCGCTGCAGCATGGAGGAGAACGGGCTATACAGTATATTAAAAACACACACACTACTTTGTGACACTCATGGAGGCATTGTGCAACTTTGACGGATCATCAGCTCAGGAGGGGGAGTATCATCTGCCATTTTGTGTCAGCTGCCTGCTCGTAACTACGAGTTGTCTGTAAGCCGGACGTTCTAACCTGGGGACTACCTGAACCATGGCATTCATTATTGAAGATCCTAAACACAACCACCAATAGTTAACACTAGTTTGAATAATGACCTCCTGAAGAGTCCTGTCCTTTACTGAGACATAAGAATAATGTGCTAGGTCCAGGGCAGCCCAAACAATGTTTTGGATCAAGTTCAAAGGAAGGAATTGGAAACATCAACCAGGCAACTTTTAAGTAACCTTGGCATGATATCAAACACAAACCAATAATGCTACATTTTCCTCTGTCAGAAACCCTCAGACCTACAAATATTCTAATGCTCACCCAATACTGATAAACTGAACTGACTTCCTTCTATACCTGCTACCTTTAAGTTCCAAAGTATCTTACAATATCATTCATGAATGTTCTGTGCTGTTTATAGTTTGATAAAACAATGTTAATAATGCAGAATGCCACTATTCTATATGCTTGTCCCATTCTAAGGATAGTACCTTTTATGAGACAAAACAAATACAAAAGTTATCAAGACTGCCTTTGAAGATGGTCCAGGAGCTTCAGTTAATTCAGAATTCAAATATCTGGTTATTACCAAAACTTATGTTGCTTCTGTAATAAGTTCCCAACTAATTCTGTGCTTATCAACTTCAAATAGGATTGGTCTCAAAATAACTTGAAACACTGCCTATAAACTCTGCCCTAGATCCCAAGAACTTACTGTTGAGTAAAATTATAACACTGGCTAGCAAAAGAGATATGGCATTTCTATGATAGCCTTTCTGTCATGAAGGCTTACCTGTTCCAAGATAAGAATTATGCAAGCCAACCTATTTTATGACACTCTTAAGGAAAGGAAAGATGGACTTTGAAGAAAAAGGACAGGAAGGCTTTAAATCCTGGGCGCCCAACCTTTTAGTTTGCCTGGGCCATATTAAGTGAAAAGGAATTGTCTTGGGCTGCATATAAAATATGTAATACAGTTAATGAATATAAATAACAAACTTCCGGTTAAAAGTTTACAATGTTGTGGGGCCACATTACTAGCTGTCCAGGGCTGTATATGGCCCACAGGCCATGGATTAGACACACCTGCTTTAAAGAGATGGATGATTATCTATTTTTACATGAATCAATGAACATTTTTATTTTAAAGATTGAGCTTTTACAGCTAATCTTAAAAGTTACTCAAGAACAGGTGACTAAAGTAACCATAAAATATTCTGGAAATTCAAGCAGCAGAAACAACAAGTAACAATACTACAAAGGAACAGGGTAATAGGAAAATAGTTAGAAGTTATGGGTGTTCCAACACTGGAGGTTCTTAAGAAGAGATTAGACAACCATTTGTCTGAAATGGTATAGGGTTTCCTGTTTAAACAGGGGGTTGGACTAGTAAATCTCCACGGTCCCTTCTAACTCTGTACTGGGCTACGGCCCGGGGGTTGGGGACCTCTAGTCTAAATCATGCTCTATTACCAATGATTGGAGCAAAGATATTCTATCTCTGTAGATTTGTATTTAATGTATCAGCATTGATTAGCAAAAAATAATATTAAAAAAGCAATATAATGGGATTATATAAAGCTTCACCCTCTCTCAAATTGGAAGATTTCAATAGTAACCATCCTTATTCACATTGTTATTAAGGGAGAAAATCCTTTGTTTTAACATATAAAGGAAATTTTCACAGTCTACCTTCATGTCAGAAGTGCCATTCAATCTACATGATTTATACACTTGGAGCTATGATGTTGTTGGCTGCAAATTGCAGAGTATTTTTAAAAGAAGTTGTGAAGGACACTGCAGTGAATTATCAAATAATCCAAAGCACTTTCTCTACCCCCACATGCTGAGGGAGTGTATCTATTAAGAGCAGCCAGATAAAAAAATTAAATAATCTGAAGGGACCCACAATGCACCCTTGTCAAATATGGAAAATTACAGATACGGGTGGCCTTGAACTGCCAGCATTATTGCCACTACACCTGAGTTCTCACCAAACAAAGTGCCTTCACAGATTTCACACATGTATACAATTTGAGAGAATCCATTTGCAAAAGTTAATTAATTAAAAAACATGATTCCAGTACTGGGAAAGATTTTTCTAAGCAGATTTTACTTAGAGCTATCCTCTTTGGGAAAATTCAGTTTTCAATTTAAAAAAATGTAATTTATGATTTACAGGTGTATCATTCATTCCAAGTAATTAAAAATATCTTGAACAATATTATCTTATCAGAGATTAATACAGCTCTGTTCCAAACATTACTTTTCACTAACTTCATTATAGCACTTCTTCCTCTATGCTAGCAATGTCTTGCTTCACTGACTCTAATTCTTACACCATTTCCTCTTTGAACAAAATAGAAATGTTAACCTTGAGAACTGCTCTAAAACTTCTGAGGCTGCCTACCTTGCAGTCTTTTTTGCAGTGTTAAAATATCTATGGTTATAGACTAAAATATGGACATTACACAGTTTTTATGGGACAGGGAGGTCCTCCCAATGTCCTGACAATAAATTCAGCAATAACCTGAATTACAAAGATACAGTTTCTTTAAAAAAAAATACAGCCAAATTCTTTATAGTACTGATTTGGTGGGGTGCTCTAGTGCAAGAGAGAGAAGAAATAC